GCCTGCACGATAGGCATTTTCCTGAGCTCTCCATATGCCTGACTAGACGGGTGGCGATGACGCGCTCCAACGTCTTACCCACCTCATCTAGCAGGCATATCGGCCTGTATCCGCCAGGCGGGTCCGCAGGCTTTCCCTCCTTCCTCAACAGTACGAGGCACGACTGTTTCCAAGTGTCCGGGAACTTTTGGTCTCTTATACACGCCGTGTATAGTGCCCTCACTCTACCAGCCATTTCGCCCAAGGCGATTCTCCATACGACCCCTGGTACGCCGTCTGGTCCAGGGGCTTTCTTCGGCTTAAGTTTTCTTGCTGCTCGAGTGATCTCCTCGTCTGTTACGTGCATGTCGTCAGTCCAGCCTTGGGACTCCTCTTCGACTTCCAGGTCCATGCGGATATCTCCCCCTCCTCTCCTTCCGGGAACAGGGTGCTAACCACCAGGTCCAAGAAGTCAGTTTTGAGCAACTCTACAGTTGGAGAGGCGCCGCCCGAGAGCTTGTTGAGTACAAGTCTGTACGGCCTGCCCCACGGGTCTTCATCCAACGTGTCCAACAGCTCACTCCAGGCCCGCTCCTTAGCCCTTCGAATGGCCTTCAGGGCGTCTCGGCTTTCCCTATATTCGATGAGGAGGGCCTCGAGTCGCTCGCGTGGTACTCGCTTCCCCCTCGCTCTCTGTACGCCTTTCCTGCAGCGTACGGACTTTTGCCTCAGATCGGCGATCTCGTTAGTCCACCAATAGGCACTCCTCCTAGGGGTGAACCTGATCCTCGGCATCGCGCCATCGCACGCTCGGGTCAGGGTCCCCCTCAGCCATCTGGCCTCCTCTTCTACGTCCTGTGCTGGGGGCGCCGGGGCCCCCCCGGTCGCCGTCAATAGTGCCGTCAGCATGTCACGATCAAGCTTGTTGACCGGCCATCTTACCCTCGAGCAACGCTGCGCTCTCGAGCCTCCCCTCTCTGTCGGCCTGACCAGGGTCATCTCAATGAAGAGGTGATCCGAGAGTCTCCACCTCTTCCACTACTCTCCACCCCTCCATCCACCGGGCAGCCTTCGGGGACGTCCAGGCAAGGTCGACGATCGACTCGCCTTGTGCTCTGACGCAGGTGCTCGCGTTGCCCCGGTTTTCGAGCCTTAGCCCCAGTCGCGCCGCCCATGCCGCTATCACCGCTCCCTTTGCGTCCGGCCGCCGGGAACCCCAGTCCGCGGACTTCACGTTAAAATCCCCGGCGACCAGGATCGGTCCAGGGAGCACTCCTCTCAGCTCGCTTTCCATTTCGTCGAGCCTCTCCTCTACTTCGGCCCTGCTTAGGCTGGGTCTCAAGTACACACCCATTATGCTGAGCGTGCCGCATTCCACTATGACCCAGCCCTCGCCCTCCTTGGCCTTGGTCCAAGGGACGTGTCGTTGTCCGGTCCTGCGCCAGGTTATAGCCACCGACCCGTCGGCACTCCCAGCCCAGTTAGGGCTGTTTGGGATGCTATAGGGTTCAGCTATAACCCCTACCCCACACCCACGCTCCGCCAGGGTATGCAGGAAAAGATCCTGCGCCTGTCGTGCGTGGTTCAGGTTCGCCTGCAAAATCTTTAGTTGCGTGAAGGCCCCGGTACTGCGGCTTCCTCTCGGCCACTTGCTTCTCTTGACGCAACCTGGTCTTTCCCGGTTTGCGCTTCTTCACCGATTTTCCCTCTCATCTCCGCCGGTGTGTCCGTGTGGTCCCAGTCCAGGGACCCCTGACCTTCGACGTCGATACCCATATCTGGGTCTATCGGGTTTCCCGCCTCTCGGTCCCCGGGCGGCTCCGAGTTCCGGGCCGAAGCCACCGGTTGCTTCCTCTCCTCCCGCCTGTTCTTTCTCATCGCGCTTTTCGACGCGGGCGGGCAGGCTCCTCCTCCAGCCTGTGGGCATCCGGCAGTCCTTTGGCCTTGCACACCACGCATTTAGGCCTAGCCGTGCACCCTGTCGACCTATGCCCCTCTTCTCCGCACCTATAGCACGAGTTTGTGCGGTCCTCTTTGCTCCTACACTGTGCCCGGACATGTCCCCTTTCCAGACACTTGTAGCACACGAGCGGTCTGGCCTCGAGCAGATCCACTCGTGCTGCTACCCACCCAATCTTTATGCGGCCTTTCTCCGCCACTCTCTTTGCCGTGGGCATTGGGTCCATGCCGTCCCCATGCCGTTGGGGGCTCTCCTGATCAGCCTCACCTTGACCTCGTGGCTCGAGCACAGGCCCACTTTTCCCACGGCCTCTCTTATCTCCTCCTGCGTTATGGAGTCGTCTAGGTCCTTTATGCGGAGCTCCACCATTTTAACCATGCGTGCGACTCTCACCCCCTCCGCGTCTCCAACCACCTCCCTGATTTTCCCCACCAGGGTGTCCGCCTTGGCGTGCGCATCCTTTCCTGGTATTTCCAGGATTAATGCCCCGGTGAGTCCCCTCCTGGGTCTTAACTCCTCAATCCCGATGTCTTCAAGGTTTATTTTGGACCTAACCGTCCTCATGCCTTCCTCGTACATTCCCTTTGGGAATGTCAGCGAGACTGCTGCTGTTGTCGGGACCCTCCTTCTCCCCGCGCTCCGGGGTGCCGATGGTCCCTGCCGCAATTCTTTTCCGCCGTCTACTCTGCTCTCCCTTTTCCCGGACTTCGTCTTTGCCTGTGAGCTCGCCGGTAACGGTGCGGGTTGCGATGCCGCTTTGGGTCCTCTGTTTTTCCTTCCCTTGACGACCTCCGTCCAGGGGATCTGATCCCTATCCGGGAGCAGCCCCTTTCCAGGCTGGCTCTGCGGTGCAGGCTGCGTGACACCCTTTGCAGGCTGTGTCACGCCCTTTCCTTTCGCCGCTTTACCAGCTGCTGGAGTCGGGGCGGTGCTCCTTGCTCCAGGTCCTCCTCCAGTGTCTGTCTGCTCCTTCTTTCGGGCAGCTTTCAGCACGGCCCTACTCCTCGTGGCCTCCCTTACCACCGTCATGTTGGTGATTGTAGGGAGTTTCTTCCCGGTGGTTTTTTGTCCCGGTTCTCCCGGTATTCCCACCATGGCGTCTTCGCATTTTGCCGCAAGGTTCTTGAGGTTGCTCCTTACATCTTGCGGATCACCTGAGATGACTGCCTCTATGGACACGCTCTCCATGACGCGCCTGGCATTTTCCATAGCCACCTCGATCGGTGGCTCTTCCAGGCGTTTGCTTTTGCCCCCTATTGCAGGTCTGAAGGCCGGGAACTCCCCGTTTCTCTCAGGCGTTGAGTTCCGTTCTCTTCCGAGTGCTGCATGTGCTGGTGGGTCTACCACCATCGCGTCCACCGCTTCTTCCTCCTCTGGGTAGGTCTTATTCCTCCTATTTCGTGAACGTACCCTATTCGTTTTTTCCTGCGTCTGTAGCTTCGCAGTGAGCTCAGCTACTTGTTGCTCGAGCGCCCTGATCCGCTCCCTGAGCTTGTCCGCCTCTTCCCTTTCTTTTCTGACCTCCGGTGTCGTGGCCTTGGAGGTGAGCGCTATCGTTGCCGCTCGCATCCCGTTTGCGCTCGAACGCAGCTCTTTAACAAAGGTGCCTTTGAGGTTCTTGGAACCTCTGGCAATCTTGTCAACTACATTAATGAAGTTGATCATGTCCGCACCAATTTGGTCTACGGACATGTCCACGACAGGTTCACGACGACGAGCGGGTGTTGGGTGGCTGACTTGCCACCCAACGCTCCGGACCCCCGGGCCCCGCCTGGGAATAAGTCCCAGCGGCCCCGGGGATCCCCGGGCGGACGGGCCCCGCCTCGGAGACGTCCGAGCGGCCCCGTCCACCCCCCTATCTGGCAGCCCACCCGGGTGACCAGCCCAGGGTCTGCCTCTTCCCACCGGAAGGGCCGGTCCACGTCCAGTCCAACCGCCGGGAAGCCGCAACTTCCGGCTCACCCTTCGGCCAGGACCACGTCCTGTTTGCCTCCGGGGTCCGGCTCTCTTCCGCCCGCGAAAACGTCCACGACGAGTTCGTTGACGGAGGAGCTTCCCCTTGCCACCGCCTCCTGCCGGAACACCGGCGTGCAATGGATGACGGTGGCCTCCCTCCGAATCCCAGCCGCCTGCCGGAACACCGGCGTGCAATGGCAACTGGGATTCCTGCCCCCTCGTCCGGGTTCCCCCCGATCCCTGCCGGAACTCCGACGTGCAATGGGATCGAGGGGGAGACGACCCGGTCCGGTGGGTGGAGCAAGCTCCCCCTATCGGCCCCGGAAGCCGGAGGTTTGAACTCGGGGTACCTCATCCTTTACCGGCGAGTGGTCTCAGTTCTGTCTCGACTCGCATCGAGGCAGCCGAGACCGGAGTCGCCGGGCTCCTTGTTTCCCCTTTTCAGGGGAAAGGCAAGCTCTTAGTCGGCGAGCGCCCGTCACCGAAACCGCCGATGCCTAATACGGCACACAGCGGTTTCTAGACAGACGCTCGCCTACAAGCCCCCTCACCACGTCAAGGTGGCTTGCCACGAGGGGGAAACCTTTTTTTTTGTTTACCCGGTGGAAACCCTCATGGGCCGTCACCCGCCCCCGCTGGAGAGAGGGACGGGTGCTGTGTGGGACTCGTCTCCCCGGCACTTGGGCAATTGACAACCCAAGGCCAGTGTGCAATGGAGACGCCTACCGCACTAAAACCACCGGGGGTGGACTTCTCTGCGCTTACTGAGGGCCACCCGGGTACAGCTACGCATTGACCTCCAGGTGACCCCGCGCCGCGCGTGACTTCGCGCTCTTCTCTGCCGGATTTCCGGCCTGGCCCTTAGAAGGGCCTTCTCCTACATTAGCGGCGAGGGTGCCACCGGCCCCTCGCCGCGCCCCCTATTTGCTGATGGGGGCGGGTGGGTCGTGGGTCTCCAGCCCACGCCCACCCACCAGGGGCCCCGGAGGGCTTCCTGGTAAACTCCTTTTAGTCGCCTCTTACGACAGGCAGGAGATACCCAAGGCCTATTCTTGAGGCGGGCCCTGGACGCCTTAAACCCCCAAAAATCCTCATGTTCACCTCTTGGAGGCTTCTGAGCCTGGTGCCTTCCAGAGGCAGGCTGGCTTCTTCTACTCTCCCCCCCTCTTCCACGGGATAAGCGTCCCGGGTGAGAGGGGGCGTGGGGGGGGGGAAGGTTAACCTTAAACGGTCCGCCTCCCCCCCAGGTTTGTCTCGTATCTTCGTCATCTCCGCCCTCCTTGAAGGTAGGGCCCTCTCAAGTGGGCTGCTCGGCCGCGCCGTCCACGCGCGCCTCTTCTCGCCCCCCCATTTCCTCCTCTCTGCGAACCCAGAGGGGGATTCGCCTCCCCCCTCCTTACTCGCTCTGCCTCCTCCTTCTGTGACATTACGCGTTCACAGAAGGAGGAGAACGCCTCCCAGGCTCCCTCTCCCCGGGTGATGGCATCTACCACCGCCCGTAGGGAGAGGTCACCCCCTATTACGTCTGTGAGGACCCGGCGCTCGTTCGCCCACCCCGGACAGAACTCCAGGGTGTGCTGCGCCGAGTCCTCCGCCTCCTCGCAGTGCTGGCACTGCGCGGTCCTCTCGCGCCCGATCGGTCCTCTCGCGCCCGATGCGAGGGGGAAACCTATCCTAACCCTTTTTTTTTGGTAACCCGGGGGAATCCTCATGGACCGTCCCCTCGCCCCGCTGGGACGGGACGAGGGGGTGTGTGGGACTCACCCTCCCTGTACCCCGGGCAATTGACGACCCGGAGCCAGCGTGCAACGGAGGGTGCCTACCGCACTAAACCCACCGGGGGTGGACTTCTCTGCGCTTAATTGGGGGATATCGGGAATGCCATCACAGATCAACCGAATATCCCCCGCGCCGCGCGTAGCTATCGCGCACCTCTAGGCCTTAATGGACAGGCCAAGCCCTAGTAAGGGCCTTCATCGTGTCGTGGGCAGTCTTCCCACGCTGCGGCGGGGGTGCCACCCGGCCACCCGCCGCGCCACCGTTGGTGTTGGGGGCGGGGTGAGCCACAGTTCCCAGCTGTGCCCACCCCCAGGGTCTGTCAGACCCTCGCCTCTCCCCTTTTAGGACGCCTCTTACGCCAGGCAGGGGGTACCTCGGGCCTATTCTTCCAGCGGGTCCCGCACGCCTTAACCTTTTTTTTTTTGACCCGGTGGAAATCCTCATGGACCGTCACCCGTCCCTCCTGGAGAGAGGGACGGGTGGTATGTGGGACTCACCCCCTGACACTCGAGTATTTAACACCTCGAGGCCAGTGTGCAATGGGGTGCCTACCTCACTAAAACCACCGGGAGTGGCCACCTCAGCGCTTTGGGGGGCCATCCGGGTACTTCAACGCAAATCTCCGGATGACCCCCGCGCCACGCATGTTACGCGCTCATCTTTGTCCCCCCTTTAGGAGGGGAGACCTAGGCCTCATTATGCGGCCTTCTCCTCTTTATTCGTTATGCGGCAGGGGTGCCACCAGGTCCCTGCCGCGCCCCCTTGGTGTTGTGGGGGCGGGCGGGTCGCGGGTCTCCAGCCCGCGCCCACCCCCGAGTGCCCTGTACTTTGCACAGGGCTCTCGACTCCTCCTGCCCCTTTATGGGGCGATAGGGGGGAGGCGGGGGCGCAGGCAGCAGGCGACCCGACACCACCCCTCAGGGTGGGGTCGGACGCCCCACGAAACCCGCGCCCCCGCCCCCCCCCCAGGACTCCTAATCTACGGTCTATTGCCCGCAGTCAGTCCACCGGGGGGGGGGAGGCAGCTGCTCACTGTCAGCCGCCTCCCTCCCCAGAGACTGTTCCCTATTCCCGACCCATTCGCTTAGGTCAGGCTCCACTTTTTGAGGTGAGCGGGGATTCCTCTTCTCCCTCTTCTCCTTCCGATCCCCGCTCCCCCGCCGCCTTGCTGTGCTGTGGGGGTTGTCTCCCCCCGTCGCACCCGCTCAGCCTCCTCCTTCTGCAGCATAACATGCTTACAGAAGGAGGAGAAAGCCTCCCATTT